ATGAATGTAGATTTCCTGTGTCTCCTGTCCATCAGGACCTAGGCCTGTCTTCAGGCTGACCTCAGAGCTGTCATAGCTGTAGGAACTAAACACCATGGTGCAATTCTGCCAGTCAAAGGGGAAGTAGGTGACCTGAATGGAAAGGAGAAGACACTGGAGCTGCCAGAGGGCTGGTAAGGACTAGGCAAGTTTGGGAGGTTGTTGGATGGAAGTCACAAAAGAGAAGGGATCATTGGGGACATGGCAGAGGACCACTATGGAAGACTGAAAACCAAAGAAAGTGTACAGGGCAATGGACAGTCAAGGCAAACTAGGTGAGCGTCAGGAGGAATTATGGCCCAGGACTGGGAGTAGCTACTGGGTGAGGAAGTCTAAGAACAGACAAAGCCTGGAAACCTGGATGCTGCAGCTGCTGCGGTACAGGCCAGGGGGCTGCCAATGCACAGAGCCCTCGAAGGATACCACGGCATTAATGTCCAGAGCAATGTCAAAATTTCCATCATTGCTGCAGGAAAGAGATCTTTTTATATGGGATCTGGATCTGTCCTCCATAGACCTCCCCCACCATGACTCATTATCCCCCCATGGCCCCCCATCCCTACAGCCCTCCCACACCCTCCCCCATGCCAAGACTACTTGTTCATCAGCACCACGTCTGGGAGCCAAATGGATTCAGCGGTGATTCGGAGAGAATCGATGCCATCGTGTTCTGCAGGATCCCAGCTTAACCTGTAGTCTGTCCACTCCTAGGAAAGCAGAAGCTAAAGGGCTGTTCAGGCTAGAGGCCAGGGAGAGACTTGAAATGTCTGAGAGGGTGCCCAGGAAGAGGGTGCAAAGGGGATTAGCTCAGGCCTGGCCTGTGAGTCAAGGGGAAAGGGTTCTGGCTCTGCCTTCATTCTCTGGGTGGGATTCACACCAGCTGGTGTCCTTCCCCCTGCATTGAACTCTATTCTTCAGTCTCTGAAACCAAAGGGGGTCCTCAGTGGTAATGGTACTGGCTACTCTTCCAGAGGACCCAGGTTTGATTCCCAGCATCCACAAGGAAGTCACAGCCATCTGTAACTCCAGTTCCAGGGGATCTGATGCTCTCTTCTGGCTTCTGCGGGTACTAGACATGCATGTGGTGCACAGACAGATAGTCAAACAAAACACCCATGCACATAAAACAAATTAAAAGTAATCGAAGAGATTGTATTAGCCATCCTCTGCTATAGCAGTTTTAAAATGGCAGTTCATGGCCCTTTAAAGGACAAGAAGATGGCTCAGAGGTTAAGAGCACTGACTGTTTTTCCAGAGGTCCTGATTTCAATTCCCAGCAACTACATTGTGGCTCACAACCATTTATAATAAGATCTGGTGTCCTCTTCTGGCCTGCAGCAATACATGGAGACATAATGTTGTATACTAAATAAATAAATCTTAAAAAAAAAGGATGAGAATTCAAATTAGTGACGCCAAACTTGTGTTTTAAACAATTAGGAAGGAATTGTTTATAAAAACTTCCGTTTCGGTTATAAGCTACACAGAGAAACCCTGTCTCGAAAAAACAACAACAAAAATCTTACTGGCTGGGCCTGGTGTTGGTGGTGCACACCTTTAGTCCCAGCAGAGGCAGAGGCATGAGGATCTCTGTGAGTTCGAGGCCAGCCTGGTCTACAGAGCTAGTTCCAGGACAGCCTCCAAAACCACAGAGAAACCCTATCTAGAAACAAAACAAACAAACAAAAAAACCAAAAGCAAAAACAAAACAAAACAAAAAAAATCTTACTGAGCTGAACATTCCAGATTAATATAATAGTGGCGGGACGCCCTTCCCTAACCCACGGGATCTCCATACCAGGTGTAAGTACACTTTTGTGCTCATTTCTTCATCCTTCTCGTTCTAGAAGAGAAAATTTTAAGGCAGAAATGAAATGAGGTGGGAAGAAACGAGGGCTCGGGGTCACTTTCTCACAGACCACTCCTTTCTCTAAGCTGCACCTTCTTGGGTCAAACCCCATCTGGTAGAAGTTGAGCTGGTATCAGCCCTGCCTCTGCCTGGAAACACCAGATCCTGATGCCTGCTTTCCTCGCCTTCTACCTCCTGGCTCAGCCACTGACCACACCCAGTGTCTAGTCCTCCCAACCCTGAATCTCCGCCCAGGGCTGTTCCTTGACTCCTTGAGAACCAAATTCTGCAGGACCCTGCTAGGATCCAACACGGCCACGCCCCAAGCTCCTCCCCCTAGCAGGTCCTTCTGCCTCAGCCCCGCCTTAAACCCCGCCCACAAGCGGAGCGGCACTAAAGTCTGTCAAGGATGCCACGCCCTCAAACTCGTTCATTGGTCCCATTTCTACCCAATCGCTGCCAGAGGCCTGGCCGTCTCTCCGCCTAACCTCGCGCAGATCCCGCCCCCGAACCTTCGGCCCCGTCTAAAGCCACGCCCCGCAGCCCGTCCCGCCCAGCGACCTCCACCTGCAGTGCGCCCTCACCAGGCTGATGAGTTGCGCCAGGGTGAGGCCAATGCTGACCCCGACGCGGTCTCCCACCTCCCGCGCTGGCCGCACCGAGCTATCATAGTTGGAGAAAAGTTTCTCTCGAAGTCGGCCTTCGATTTCCGACCCGCGGGCGCCTGACGAAGGAAAGCACTAAATGACGCACCGGTGGCTGGCCGCGACCATTGCCCCTGCCATTGCCTCTTCGGGGCCCAGACTGACTTACCTGGGGCGAGGGGCGCCCCGAGCACCCCCAGAAGCAGCAGCAGCGCCCCTAAGGTCATGGCCCTGCCGCTTCGCTCAGTGAGTTTGTCCGGAGAGCGTCCGAAGCAGCCAGGGCAGGGGAAGTGACGAGGCGCCCAGGAATGTGCACCTGTTGTCGGGGGACCAGCCGCCAGCCCACCCGCCCCGCCCTCTAGGCTTGGTCACTCCCGGAGCAACTGTAGTCGCCCTCCACTCACAAATGTCAGACAACACTCCTGTTGTGTAAATCATCTTTAATTAGAGAAAGCATGGAGACCCAGTCCCGAGAGCAGAGCCAGGAGATGGGCGGAGCCTGAGCGGGGTTTGTGTGAGGGAAGGAGAACTCTTGCAACAAGCCAGAAGTAAAAGGGCCTGAGGAAAAGTGACTTGCCTTTGAGCACTAGCCCTTCCCTTAGGACCTCCATAATCGTTTCCACCTACACCTGCTAGACTCGGAATCTACCCCGTTTTACTAGAGGTTCCTGGTTTTCAGGTCCTTTTTGGGTACTTAAAACCCAGCTGAGGTTATAAGCTGTAAAGTAAATTCTATTTCATTAGAAGCTCTGAGGATATATGAGGTCTGGGAGCATAAAAGGCCCCTCATCTCCTAGGCCTTATCTGTAGGAGGGAGAGTTGGATTTATTGCTGAGTTGGGAGTCTCCTTGCTAGAAAGGGGAAATCAAGGCTGTGTCCCTATTTGTCCTTTTTAATTCTAGAGTCATTATCCTTACAGATCTCGGTTTTCCATGGTTGTTTGAGACAGTCTCACACAGCCCAGCCTGGTCTTGAACTCCTTCTGAAGCCCAGGCTAGCCCTCTATCCCCAATTCTCATTCCTCCACCTTACAAATGCACCATACAATATCAAGCAAAGGACCTCAGCTTTAAAAGGGACCTGGAAGGAATTCCTGCTGAGGTAGCTAAGTGTTCATGTTTCCCCAAAGCAGACACAAATTCAATCAAAGCACGGCATTTCCCCCCTCTCGCTTCCTCACGTGAACCAGGTATATTCTTCCAGAGTTCCTGTACCTTGCCTAGACTCTCGTTTTCCTGGCAAAACCCCAGTTGGAATGCTAAAACTAGAAACCATATAAAAGTATGGTTAACATTCTAAGCATTCTAGAGGAAAGAAGATTTTTACAAAATGATGTAGGAAAAATAAGCAGTGGTGGTTCTTGATTCATTTAGTACAGATTAGTAAGCATGCTCTCTCCCTCTCTCCTCTCTGTCTCTCTCTGTCTCTCTGTCTCTCTCTCTCTCTCTCTCTCTCTGTGTGTGTGTGTGTGTGTGTGTTTGTATGTGTGTTTGTATGTGTGCTGACTTTTCAGACAGGGTTTTGTTATTATTGCCCAGGATGGCCTCCAACTCAAAGTCCTGACCCAGTCTTCCAGGTGCTGAATTACAGGCATGTACTACTAAGCACGACTCAGAACAGTTCTTAATGAACCACAGCTGTCTTCTATCCATAGCTCATTCTTAATCATTAGAGGAAGTGGAAGGGTGGGTTTAGAACTTACTCTAGTACAATAATATGGCTATATAATAAACCCTAGTTTCATCCTGGAAAAAAGGGCTGAGAGTCATGGTCTATGTCCTAAAGCTGAGATTAGGAGGAAATATGGCTCCAAAAAGGTCTAGAACACCAGGCTCTAGAATTGGGTGTCTCTGGGATAAGAAGGTTTAACGTATGGTGTGACCTGAGGCTGGTTCCAATTCAGACCAGGCCAATGGCTACATTAGGAGGCTCAAATTCAGCTTTTTTTTTTTTTTTTTTTTTTAAATCAGTGTCGGGGAGGGGGTATCTATCTAAGTCAAGAATAGAAGCATAAAGGATCCATGCCTGGGTTCCAATACCATGGCTGGGGTGTTCAGATGGATCTGAACCTGTCCAGACCAGGGCAGAAGGTAGTGTGGGCAGAGAAGGATACTAGTTCTGAGTGCCAGTGGGCCATCTAGTCATCTGTGGCTCCGTGGCGGCGTAAAGGAGTGCATAGCTCCAGAAACTGACTCAGCCAGGGTGAAGAGTATTAATTCCCTTGCTTTGTCAGTTTGGGAACCCCCCCAGCGCCATTTCAGGGAAAATTGGGGTTCTTTGGAGGGGAGGAGTTAATGTGAAAAGAAATAAGTGATCAGCCAGGATTATTTCAGGTACCCCATCTTGGAACCTCTCCTAGGTCCCAGGATCTAAGATCTCAATAACTCCAGAAGTCCCACTCAGTCCCTAAGCTCCTTCAGGGTACAGCACCTGCTGAGACCTGGCTACTTAGGGCTGTGTATGGCAACAGGGGTGACAGCGGCAAGGCCTGGAGCAGGCTAGGAGACAGGCTGTGGAGGTGGCTGGTTCGCCGGAAGTGCAGGGAGCCTCCAGTCCAGGACTACACCTCAAGGGGCAGGGGGACTGGAAGGGGAGGTCTCAGGGACACTGTGGAGAGAAGGCTCCCGGTACATGGCCACTGTGAAGGGGAGAGAGAGGAGCAGGGAAGGAGAATTAGGCACACAGAGAGCCAGAAAGAGTCAGAGCTCTGAGCGGCCTCCCTTCCCTTACACACACTCATCCTTGGAGAACCACACCCAAATGAAAAGAACTTCCCAATTCCCCAAAGGCTAAACCCTCCTAGTCTTGGACTATCATAACAGCATCTTGTTTAACATTTATGGCCTGGGCTGTGTGATGCAGAATACTCATGTCAAGGTCAATACCCTCCCACATGACCCACCTTTTCTGGAGCCCATACCCACCCTCCAGGAGCTTGGGCACAAAGTGGGCAGCTGCCTTGGTCTTCTTGACTCGGTTTCCCTTCATGACCCGGCCCTCCTTGTCCAGGCCTAGGTACCAGGCCCGGCCAGAACGTCGCTGGCGGTAGAGAGCAGAGGCATACAGGACATAGTAATTCTCAAAGACACACTCCTTAAAGCGACACTCTGCTGTGAAATGTGGCTGAGGAACAAAGATCCAGAAAGAGCATGGACAGAGAGAGAGAGAGAGAGAGAGAGAGAGAGAGAGAGAGAGAGAGGCTGTTATATCAGAAGGGAAGGAAGAAACAGTCAAGATACAACCCATACATTTTTTTCTAAAGGAGGATGGCAACCAATGAGGCCATGCAGAAACCAGAGCAGAGAGAGCAAGGAAAAGCCTGGAGGCCACCCAGGGGTAAGAACTGGACTAATAGGGGCTCTGGAAACAAGCTCTCTTCTATGCATTCCCAGCCTCTTACCACTTCCTGTCAGAGTAAAGATGAAGTTTAGAGGTGATAGGCTGAGAAGTGAGGGGGGAGTGTCCGAAAGAGTCAGACATCCAAAGAGCCTGGGGCACTTGAGGGTGAGCGGTGCAAATAGACTGGATGTACTCTCAAGGATCACTTTGGAACAGGCAGTCATCAGCCAAAGCAGGAAGGACAGAGTCCTGGGAGCAAGTCCTGTCTGTAGGAAAGGATGCTCACATGCTAAAGGTGTCCCCAGTACCCCAGGCCACTCAGCCTCATTGTCTTACCGAGCTGTACAATAGCCCCTCAGCATTCATGGCCATGTAGTGACCCAGCTTGGCACTCTGGATGGTGACTACACGGAGCCCCACGGGAATCAAATTGAAGTGGGCTGGGGGAGTAGAAAGCAGACCTCAGGACCCAAGTGCCTCACTCCTGTCTGAGTCCCCTCCCTACTCCAGCTCCACTGCTCCCCTTGAGGCTCAGGAAGACAGACTGAAGACAATAAAGCCTGTCATCTCCTGTCCCTGCCTCCCCACTTCCCACCCTGCAGCTGGCTTCCCCTCTCACTGAAGGAGCTGGTGTCCTCTGGGGTGCCCTGGATGCTCCCATCTGGATTCGCCTGGAGGTAGAAACCCTGGCGGCAGAACAGTTTGGTGACGATGCCTTTGAGCTGAGGCTCTGGAGAGAGAGACATTCATCTTTGAAAACGACATCTCTGTTCCCAGAAACATTCCTACACTTGGCGGGATCACAGGATGGAAGGAAGGGGAAATGAAGGGAGGACGGTTCTGGGCCTCAGCTCTCTTACCCTCCAAGCAAGCTTCCTCCTACCCCTCTTTGATTCCTGAGGAAGCTGGGGTGTGGGTCTCTTCCGCTTTCTCTAATCATGAGCGTCAGCTTAATTTATTGAAATTTATTTAAATGGCTTAATTCCTTTTCCCCCACTAGAGTTGGGGGAGGGGCAGAGAGGAGGTAGAAGAGAACAATATGAAAGGCAATGGACAGTGCTAGAGACGCAGGGCAATGTGTTTGCAAATGTCGGGATGATCAGCAAGGTGACCATAGGGAAGGGGCTCCCCCTCAGAAGTAGGGGTGGGACTGGGCTTGACTGACGCTGACTCAGCACCTGCTGCTGCTGCAGCTGCCGCTTGCTTGGCGCGGGCCTTGCTTTGGCTCAGCGCCGGCTTGTCTGACACTGACCCATCTGTCTGTTTGTCTGTCAGTCAGTCAGCTGGCTCACGAGGGTCCAGTTCTCCCTGAGGCCGAGCCTCTACCCTTCAGCCAGGTAACTAGTCTGGGATAGGGGACATTCATACCACATCAAGGAAAAGGAAGAGGGGACGGAGATGGAAAAGCAAGCTGCATCACGTGGAGGCTGGGTCCCACTCAGAGGGTGGGCTGCGGACTGTACCACTACCTAGCGTTGGTGGTGGGGGAGGAGGGCGCAAGGGGCTACCCCTAGGGGAACCGGCAGCAGGCTGGAGAGAGGCCAGAGGGACTCCCTAACTGCCGTACCTGGACGGGAATCACATACCAACCCTTACACCTCTCCTTTCCCGCGGCTTCCTCTCTGCCGATTTTCCTGTTCCCCCTTGTAAGTGGTACGACCCCCCCCTCCCAAGTCTCTGTGCAGGTCCTCAGCCTGAACTACGTGCATGAGTTCCTACTAGCGGAGGGTCCCTGGAGCCTATAGGATCGAATTTCCGAATTGCACAGGAGTAATGGGAGGGGGTGCTCAGCACCTTTCTCGAAGCGCAGGTCACAGAAGGAGGGCGTACGGAGGGGGCTGGCTGACGAGGTAGCTGCAAGGACACCCGGGGGAGAGCTGGAGAGATTGGCTCCTGGCCAGGCGAGCTCGACCAAGAGGAACAGAGCCAAAGCGTGGAGGGGCGGGAGAACCGGAGCGGGGGCGGGGCAGTCAGGGTTGCAGAAACCCTCGGGGTGACCCAAGCGTCCAGAACCCCCCAGGTCCCTCCGCTTCGGGTGGAAAGAATCGCGAGAACCTGCACGTAGGCGAAGAACCGTGGGGGGGTGGGGAGTCCTGTGTTTGAAGGGGGACAGACAGGAGCCTAGAAGCTTGGGTCGTTAGACTTGGCCCCTCAAACCTTCCCCTTGCCCTCGAAAGCAAGGAGACTCGGCAAAGTGGAAAGAAACTGAAGCATAGTCCCATAGCTTTTGTCGTTGTGGCCCACCTCTTCTACTTTTGGGACACCCTCCCCCCGCCCACGCCATCGGCTGCATTCTTCAGGGTCCCTGGTCTCAGACAGAAGGACTTCTGGCTCGGAGACCCCGCTCTAGCCACACTCACCTGGGCCGCGGTCCTGTCGCGTGGGCCGCCCCCCGCATAGTCGCACCTTGGACAGCAGGATGAGGAGCTGCTTCTGGCAAAGAGACTTGGTGCCGCGGGGACACACGCGCCGCTGCGCCGACACCGGCCGGCTGCTCCCAGGCTCGCGGACCTCCCGCTTCTGTCGGATCAGGCTGCTGGCCAAAGCCGCCATAGCGCCCCGGGAGAAGACACCCCCAAACCAGCAGGCTCCCGGAGCGCCCTGGGCTCCCCTAGAGGAGCCCTCTCACCAGGGCATGCTCTGGACCCAACCCACCGCCCCACCCACAGGACCTAAGGATTATTAAACCCCAGACCCTCCTTGCATCCTCCCCCCCCACCTCCAGCCACCAGCTCTCACCCTTGGGCCCTGCACTAGCTCCAGCAGCTCCAACAGCTTCAACACTTTTCAGTTGACCTCACCCATTAATTTTTGTCCCTAATGAAAGCTCTCCCCTTCCCTCCTCTCTGGCTCTGTCCCCACTTCCTCTATCCCAAAGTCAAGACCCTCCTAAATGTCCAAGATTTGTTCTCAATATCCTCAGACTTCTTTCCACCCTATTTTGGGGTCTCTCCTGCCCAACCTACTCTTGTAATCCGAAGGGTGTGGGTGTTTAGCTTTGGGGACATTAGCTCACCCTGGGCTGCTGTCAATGTCAGACAGGAACCCAGCCCTGATGTTTTTTCCTTTGCTGTACTCTAAATGGAGTGACTCTCCCACCCTCTTCAAAAGTACCCCCAAATATGTCTTAATATGTAGGCTCTCGAGGTTCCGTGAGAAGGGGTTCCCAAATCCTCTAGCTGGATAATGCTTTTTCTCACAGGGTTCCAGTATCTGAGGTTCTAGTACCACAGGGTTCCAGCTGCTGAGACCATTTTCTTACTTTGTCGCCCTCCACTCCTTTTGAAGTCACCTCCAAATCAGCCCTCCCTAGTGCATACACCAGGTGGTTATCTGGACCCTCTGTCACCCTGAAACGAGGAGCATCAGTCGATTCTGCTTGTTTTCTGGTTGCCCCTTAAATTTCCCGAGGAACAACTGGCACTACTTAGATCCCACACCCTCCAGTCTAACAGGGCCCCCAAGAGTGGAGAGCACCCACGTCGTCAGCACTCCTCAAACGTCAGCAGGCCTTAGTAAGTCATAGCGCATCCGAGCTTCCTGCCACAGGGCTTCCTCGTCCTCCCTGGGATTGCTAGACACCCCTTCCTTTCCCCGACGCCCCTCCACCTGTCCTGTCCTGTTGATCCGGGCGACGGGCGTCGCGGGCTCCGGCTCCAGGCTCCTCCCTCCCTGTCACCCGCAAGCGGAGGTTCCCCCCCAACGCCGGCTTAGGTGTCCCGGACCCCCAGGAGGGAGTGAAGATGTCCCTGCAGAGCGCCCCGGTTCGGCAAAGTCAGAACACTGGGCCTGGAGGTTGGACCAGCAGAGCGGTGGCGGCAGCAGCAGCGGCTGTGGGAAGCTGAGGCGGCGGCGGCGACAGAAGCTCCCCCTCCTCTGCGAGCCGGCCCGGGGGCGGGGCAGGGGGCGGAGACGCTGGGAAAGAGGGAGGCGAAGCTGGGCGGGCGGAACCCTGGGGTTCCTTGGAAGCTGTGAGTGGGGACTGTTTCTGAGGCAGGCGGAGTGGTGACAAGGCCTGCAAGTCTTGGGTTCAGAGGAGAAAAGACAAGGAAGCCTGATGCGGCGGGACTGGGGGTTGGGGGGCTAGACTGAGTGGCCGACAGTGAGAAAATGGAAAGGGACCCTACTGCCTGGATGGAAGTGAGGAGAGAAATGAATGAGGAATGTGTGTGTGTGTGTGTGTGTGTGTGTAGAAACAGAAACTGGGGTGGCTGTGCCACCCAGTCTGGGTTGTAATCCGGCCTTAGTGTCTCTGCTTTGGTATAAACCAAATTGATCAGAACCAGGTTTGCAAAAGGCAGTTCCGTCCCGCATTTTGCCATTCCTCCTGTTCGCTGTTGACGCTGAGAGATGTTTCCGGAGGCAGCACCTGGATAGGAGGGATGCCAGCCAGATTTAGTGAACTTGGGCCTCAGGCAGGACAAAACACTAGGGAGACCTTTTAGCAAAGAGGCTTTGGACTCAAGACACACAGTCTGTATGCGAAGGAGGAGCAGTCCCCTCCACGACCCTATCGCCAAAGGAAGCACTTCGCATTCATTCCATAAGAGTAGAAATCTTTAATGGGTTCCGCCCCCTATGCCCGCTAAACCGCCCCCTTTGCGGGCAACCTTGGCTTCCTCCACCGCCTCACGCAAGGCCTGTGCAGGGTCTCCGCGGAGCTGGGCCAATGCGCCACGCAGGGCAGCGGAGTCGTCTCCCATACAGAGCTTTCGGCCGCTCAAAAAATAATGAGGCAGCGTCCCGGCCTCGAGCACTCGGCTCAGCTCATCCAGTAGCCCAAGGCAACAAGCGCCGGCATTTTCCGGCCGGGCCAGGTAGAGCGCAGGGAGCCGCTCGCACGCCCAGTAGAGCAAGGTCCGCAGGAGGTAGGGCGCGGTGGCCCGGGTCCCCGCCACCAGCGGGCGCAGCAGCGCCTGGGCCGCCGCGTGTGCTTGAAGCAGCGGCGCGGGGATGCGCGCTTTGAGCGCCAGCTCCTGGCGGGCGAAGCACAGCTGCCATCCAGGGATGCCCTGCTGCTCCGGGAGGCTGCCCGGCACTAGGTAGAAAGAAGCCGACTCAGAGGCCAGTGGACCCGCCCACGAGTGGCTCCGAGCCCTGTCAGGCCAGCCTGTCACTGACACCACCGGGATCAGGTCGAAGAGCAGGAGGTGGCGTGGGGGCTCCGGAGTTGCCAGGAGGACCGTGGTGACACCAGCGTGGCGAGCTGCGTGAACTAGCCGCGGGGCGCCTGGGACCGGGATCAGGGACTCAGCGACTTCAGCCAGCTTAACGAAGAACCACGCAGCCACTTGAGTAGGGCATAATGTGGGCCATGCCTTCGGAGCCTCCGACAGCTTTGGGACTGGGCTTTCGTCGGTTTCCAATGGTTCAGGAGTTTCAAGATTGGTGATGTCACTGTAAGGCGAATAGGACCCTAAAAGGTCACTAGATGATTTTTCCACAGATGTGTGCGGCTCAGGCTCAGGGACACAATCATGCGACTGGTCTACAGAGCTTTCCTGGTCCTTGGGACTCTCTTTGCTATGGGTCTGGTGAGTCAAATCACATTTTTCTGGGACAGGGGGTCCTAGGCAATCCTGCCAGGTCTCCCGGACCGACATTCCGCACATCAGCTCTGGAAGGCGGAGCCACGCATAACAGGATTCCAGATCCAGTAGCAGCTCCGGCCCGGAGCCATCCAGAGAGAACACAGGCACAAGGAGTGTAAAGCCGGCATCATAATGAGGTCCCCGGGTGTAGGGACCTAAGGGGGCATGGCCTAAATCTAGGGAGCCTTCGCGAATCCCACCGCGAAGCAGAAGGAGTTCTGCCAGAGATGGAAAACGAGGGTCCTGGCGGTGAACTAGACCTAAAGTAAGAAAAGGGACCGTGAAGGTGTCAGGTGGTCCAAAGCCGGGGTGGGGTATGGTGAGGCTGGAGTTTGCAAATTTTCATAGTTGAGAATTACTTACCAAGCAGAGAGAAGACAAAATCCTTGGCTCGGAGAAGATCAGCTCCAGGCTTGGGCCCTTCACTCCAACTCTCCTGAACACCCAGCTCCTGAATCAACTGAGTCAGCTCCTGCAGCTGTGCGCCAGAGCAGAAGTCGATGTCTGTGAGCGGCCGGGCTGGGGCTGGGGGTGGTGGGCCCCACCAGGGGCCACTGCCCCAGACGGTGGAAGCCATGCTTCTCTATTGTTTGGGGTTAGGGCAAACAGATCCTTGGCAGGCCTTTCTCTGCTGCCCCAAAAGTTCTCCAGTTTTCCCTTCCTTCTGAGGTGGAGCACCGGCTACAGACAGTCCACAAGTGGGTTTTGCAGATGATGTGTTCTGCGTTTAATCTTCGAAATGAACAAATGACTACTTTCTTAGTCCTTTTCTTACATGTAGATTGAGGCCCGCTTAATCGGTTCACCTGACTCAGCAGGTTAAAAAAAGAATGGCTATTTGGGCCCCCCTGGGGAATACAGTAGCCAGTTTTTGCCACCACCCTTTGTCCACCTCCCTTTACCTCTTTTTCAGAAGAGGCTTATTGGTCCACAGCTTTCCGATTAAGAGGTCGCTGAAAAGGTTGTGAACAGAAAGCACGACAAAAGATTCTACAGGTAACTTCCTGATGGTCACATGTCCACGCCCTTTTCTGGAAGCTGTCTGGGTGGTTCGGGACTGGTCCCGCCTCCTGTGAGAGATCAGTCTTTCACCGTGCTGAGGTGTTGCTACCCTGGGAGTTGTAGTTTGTTTCCCTTCAATGCTGCTGCGTTGGAGCTGTCCCTATGCGCCCTTTCAATTGTGCTAAAGTAGTGCCTACTGGAAGCTGTAGTTTCTTCTTTCTTCCTTTTTCCCCCCTCTGTCTTCAGGTTTTTTATTTTGTTTTGAGACTGAGTTTCACTGTATAGCTCTGGATGGCTTGGAACTTGCTATGTAAACCAGGATGACTTCAATTCACAGAACTCAGCTTGCCTCTACCTCCTGAGTTTTGGGGGTTTAGGGAAGGGTGTATAGCACTGCCAGGAGTTGGTGACACACACTTTTAGTCCCAGCATTTGGGAGGCAGAGGTAGGTGGATCTCTGTGAGTTCGAGGCCAGCCTGGTCTACAGAGCAAGATCCAGGACAGGCTCCAAAACAATGCAGAGAAACCCTGTCTCAAAGAACTGGAAAAAAAAAAAAAAAAAAAAAAAAAAAAAAAAGGCACACAGCACAGCACCATGCCTGACCTTTTTCTTTTTTCATAAACTCTTGTTATATAACCCAAGCTGTCCTACAGCCACTGTATGTAGCCCAGCTGACCCTGAACTCACAGCAAGTTTCCCAGTTCTGCTTTTTTTTTTTTTTTTTTTTTTTTTTTTTTTTTTTTTATGTATATTGGTTTCTTGTCTGCCTGTGTCCGATGCCCTGGAACTAGAGTTACAGACAGTGCTATGATCTGAACCCTGGTCCTTTGGAAGAGCAGCAGTGGTGCTCTTAACCACTGAGCCATCTCTCCAGCCCCCCTACTTCAGCTTTCTCGGAGCTGGATTTACAGGCTCATGCCATTACACCTACCTGGAAGCTACAGTATATTGTTGTGTCCAGGCAATCCTATATGATCACTCATTGGAATTGGAGAAAATAGATAATAGGATGGATCTGAATAGTAAACAGTAACAAGAACATACACTTCATTCCATTTGTGGGGCTCCCTGATCTCTTAGATGAAGCTCTTTTTAGGGAATTCTGACTTCATTTTAATTTTAGCTTTGTTTATTTACTTGAGACAGGGCCTCATTGTGTAGTCTTGGCTGGCCTGAAACTATGTAGACCAGGCTGGCCTTGAACTCCCAGAGATCCACCTGCCTCTGCCTCTGCCTCCCCAGTGCTGGCATTAAGCCCTGATCATTTTAGAGACTATGATTTAGAAAAGCTATGCCAAGCTTGGGAGGTAGAAATTAGGAGGATGGCAGGTTGAAGGCCAGTCTGGGCATTTTTTTTTTTAATTTAATGTACATTAATGTGAAAATGTCAGATCCCCTAGGACCGGGGTTATAGACAGTTGTGAGCTGCCATGTGGGTGCTGGGAATTAAACTCAGGTCCTCTGGAAGTGCTCTTAACCACTGAGCCAACTCCCCACTCACTAGTCTGGGCAGTTTAGACTCTTTTTTTGTTTTTTCCAGACAGGGTTTCTCTGTGTAGCTTTGGAGCCTGTCCTGGAACTTGCTCTGTAGGCCAGGCTGGCCTCGAACTCATAAAGATCTGCCTGCCTCTGCCTCCCAAGTGCTGGGACTAAAGGTGTGTGCCACTAATGCCTGGTTTAGACTCTCTTTTTAAAAAGGAAAAAGCTGAGCCAGGGATTGGAGGCACACACCTTTAATCCCAGCACTTGGGAGGCAGATCTCTGTGAGTTCGAGGCCAGCCTGGTCGACATAGAGAGTTTCAAGACAGCCAGGGCCATGGTGAGACCTTGTTTAAAAGAAGAAAGAAAGAAAGAAAGAAAGAAAGAAAGAAAGAAAGAAAGGAAAAGCCACCTAATAATAATCCATATGGCTTGTCCAGGGTCAGAGTTGAGTGAGACAGATTGAAAAAAGGTTCTCTGGATTGGTGGCATCATCTTCCTGGAATCAAAGTTCATAATTTTAAGGTAGGAACATACAAGGTGACACAGAAGTGGACATCTGAATCCTGGAGGGGGATTGTAACCAGCAATGCTCACATCAGACCTGCAGAATCATGGCAGGGAAAACCTGGGGATTCGCAGTTACATGTATACAGAAACTGTTAGAACTGAAATTGAAGTCCAAGGGAAACTCCCAGACACATGAGGTCAGCCCACAAAAACTAGGGCAGGAGAATACTTTCAGTAACCTACTCTACCAGAAACCAGAGTATGGGATCAAACCATAGCACAAACACAGGATGGGGCTGGGAGTGAGATAATGGGACAGGTAATAAACTAGTAAAACACAAAGTAGACCCACAGACCAGACCCTTCACCAGGCCTGGGCTTCTGACACTCCCTCAGCCTCTGATTACTATTCTGGGATGCTTTGAAAGCGTAGAGGATTGTGACAAGTATGGTGGCCCAAGTTTATAATCCCAGCAATTGAGCAGCTGAGGCAGGAGGACTACCACGAGCAAGAGACTCATGTGATGCAGAGCGAGTTCCAGGTGGACCTAGCCTAGAGTGAGACACAACCCAAAATTGGGGTAGGGCTGTAAACTAACTCCTGGAAAAGAGCTTATCTGGGAAGCCCAGACTTAAGGGGTTTCAAGTCACTGCCAAAGGTAGGGTCTCTTTCCACTTCGGCCACTGTAAACAGAGAACCAGGGACACAGGTTTATATATCTGACTGTGACCCAAGAAGCCAGATCAAGGGGCATCAAGACTGGGATGGTTTGGTTTTTTGCTTTGTTTTGTTTTCTAATTTACTTTTGTGTATGAATGTTTTGACTGCATGTGTGTCTGTGTACCATTTGTGTGCCTAGAGCTCTTGAAGCCAGAAGATGGCCTGAGATCCCACAGGACTGGAGTTACAGGTGGTTGTTAGCCACCATGTGAGTGCTAGGAATTGAACCTGAGTTCTCTTAATGGCTGAACCATCTCTCAAGCTCCATGTATGAGTGTTACTGCCTATATGTATATATGTGTACCATGTGATTGCCAGGTACCTTCAGAAGTCAGAAGAGGGCATTGGATACCCTGGCACTGGAGTTATGGATGATCATGAGCCAATGTGTGGGTGCTGGAAACTGAACCTGAGTCCTCTGCTAGAGCTGCTAGTGATCTGCTGAGCCCTCCCTCCATCCCTTGAAGGGGTACCAGGCAAAGGGCATTTGTATATATCTTTCTGAACCACTCTAAAAATTAACAAGGTCCTCTGGTTTTTCTGAGAGCCTTGAAGATATTGGAAATAGCAAGTATTTGGTGGCACATGCTTTTAGTCCCAGCACTTGGGAGGCAGAAGCAGGTGGATCTAGAGTTTGAAGCCACCTTGGTCCAAGACAGCCAAGGCTACACAGAGAAACCCTGTCTCAAAGAAGAAAAAAAACCAATAAATAATAAATGAAAATGTTGGGAATGGATGAAAAGGAATGTTCTTTAAAGAGAATTCGAAAGTACCACGTCCCAATAAAATAGAATTTTCTTTTATTTTTAACTCTCCCTCTCCTCTCTCTCTCTCTCTCTCTCTCTCTCTCTCTCTCTCTCTCTCTCTCTCTCTCGTGTGTGTGTGTGTGTGTGTGTGTGTGTGTGTGTGTGTGTGTGGGTGGGTGGGTGTAGGTCAAAGACAACTTGTGCAAACTGGTCCTCTGTTTCCACCATGTATATCCCAAGATCAAACTCAAGTTATCAGGCCATCAGGCTTGACTGGTTTACCCATTCAGCTATCTGGCCAGCTTCCCTTCTCCTCCTCCTCTTCCTTTCCTTCTTAATTTTCTTGGTGTTGGAGATACGGTTTCACTGTGTGTAGCTCTGGCTGTCCTGCAACTCACTTTGTAGACCAGGATGGTCTTGAACTCAAAGACATCTACCTTCCTCTGCCTCCCAAGTGCTGGGAATAAAGGTGTGTGCTACCCCCACATGCCCTGCTTCCCTTTCTTTCTAATTACATTTTTATTTTGTGTTTGTGCACATCCATACATCCACAGCACAGCTTCCATGTGGAGCTCAAAGGACATCTTGCAGTAATTATCTCTTTCTACCTAGGGACCAAACTCACATCAGGATTGGCAGCAAGTGCCTTTACCTTGTGAGCCATCTCACCAGACTTCTTTCCTTTCCTTTCTATGGAGACAGAATCTCATGTAGGTCAGGTTGTCCTTAGTGGTTGGCTTTGAATTCCTAATTCTCTTGCCTCTGCCTCCCAAGTTCTGAGGTTACAAATCATAAACCACCATTCCCTGTCTTTAAAGGAAAGAATGATCCATGGTATCTCAGGTGTGGTGGCTCACACCTAGAATTCTAATTCTCAGGAAGTTGAGGTGGGAGAGGTTTGCCTCCAATTTGAGGCCAGCCTATAACTATACAGTCCCTTCAGCCTGCCAGAAGTAGTCAGATGTCTATAGTTTCCAAAATCAACCGGAGGCCCCGTTGTCCCTGACCAGGTACCCAGATAGGTCATGTGGTCTTTGATGCCCACTGGAAACAGTAACTGGCAGGGAAAACTGTGAAGCTCTATCTCCTAGGTTTCCTTGTCAAGAAGTAAATTACACCACACAGTGGGTATCAGGATAACCTGAGCTACAGTGTGTGTATGTGTGTGTGTGTGTGTGAGAGAGAGAGAGACAGAGACAGAGAGCCAGACAGAATCAACTCCCTTCTCCTGTAAAAAAAGCCAGGCATAGTAGTGGTCATGCCTACAAAGCCAGCACTCATGATGCTAAGGCTGCATGTGTGCAAATAGGAGTCCAGTATAGGCTATAGAATGAGTTCATAGCTAGCCTGGGCTACATAGCAAAAGCCTGTCTCAAAAATTTTTTCTATGATGGAAATATCCTGTCTCTGCTATCTGAGCTCCATGTGGCTGTCAGAACGTAAAAATATGAAGACTGAAGAACAGAATTTCAATTGTTTTTGTCTTTTGAGACAGGCTCTTGCTATGTAGCTCTGTCTGGGTTCAAAATGCAAATCACCTTGCCTCAGCCTCTTACATTCTGATCTTACAGATGTGCACTACTCTACCCAGCTCAGATTAAAAAAAAAAAAACTTTATTTTATGTGCATTGGTGTGAAGGTGTCAGATACCCTGGAATTGGAGCTATAGTCTTGAGCTGTCATGTGGGTTCTGTGAATTGAACCCAGGTCCTCTGGAAGAGCATCTAGTGCTCTTGACCACTGAGACATCTCTCCAGCCTCCAGATTTATTTGTTGAAACCAGGCCTATGTAGCCCTTGTCCTAGAGCTTATTATGTAGATCAGATTGGTCTTAAACCCACAGACCTACCTCTACCTCCTGAGTATTGGGATTAAAGGCGTTCACCACTATGCCCAGCTTAAATTTTTTTTCAATGTGTGTGGCTAATTGCCTGTATATATGTCTGTATACCATGTGCAGTGCTCACAGAGACCAGAAGATGATATTGCATTGACCCTGGAACTGAAGTTATAGACTACCGTGAGCTACCAGGTGAACCCTGGGAAATGGACCGGAGTCCTCTAGAAGAACAATATATGCTCTAAACAGATGAGCCATCTTTCCAGTCCCTTAAATTTTTAAAAAATTTCTTTTCAAGACAGGATCTCAACTAGCCGATGCTGATCTTGAACTCATTATATAGCTGAGGGTTCTTTTTACCTCCTGGTTCTCCTAATTCCACCCACCAAGTGCTGGGATTATAGGTGAACAACAACGCTTGGTGAGAATTTTAAATTTTAATTGACATCCTAATAGTCACATTTGGATAGTGGCTACTATCTGTTTTCCTGAAACACAGCTCTTGAGCCTGGAAGGTAATGGGTTTGATTATGGAGCTGTGGATAAAGAATAGAGGCATGTTATTTCTGTGTCTCTTTAAAATGAGGATGGTCAATGTGAGTGGTGACACTGGGATGGAGAGCCCAAACAACCACAGAATGCTTCTCTTGCCTCTTTATTCCTGATGCGTATTTGCTCCCTCTTTGTTTAAGGTCCTCATCACATTTTGATATCCCCATTCCTTCTGGGTCTCCTCTGAGTTTTTGAATACTTCTTGACAAGGGCGCCTGGGAGATAGAGCTTCACACTTTTCCCTGCCAGTTACTAACTGTTTCTGGCGGGAATCAAAGACCACATGACCAGCTCGGGTGCTTGGTCCAGGACAACGGGGCCTCCAGTTGATTTTGGGAGGCATAGACATCTGGCGATACTTCTGGCAAGATGAAACAGCTGCATTTGCAGTGTGGTATGCCCATTCTTGGCTGTCTAATCTCGGGGAGGATGGCTGTAGTTCAATTAGAACAGGCACCTCTGAAAAACTTTTCAGGTCAGGGGAGAGTACTTGGGCCTTGGAAGGGCTGGTGCTTTGGTTGACTGGCTCTGTATTATCTGTCTTACATACACAGGATTTCACTGAGGAAGATGTCAGCTGTAGTGTTTGTAGTGGGCCCAAGACTTGGGTGGAAGCAGTACCTGGAACAAAACTTGTTTTTTTGTTGAGGCCAGCTTGCTGGGTAAGGCCTGGGGTCTTAAAGCCAGAGCCTTGGCCAAGTGCTGGGTTCTGATGACTGCCAGAATCTTGATCAATTGCTGGACACTCCTGAAGGTTAGGGTCTTGGCAGTGCTCTGAACTGTAAACACCAACATCTTGGTTAAGGTTCAATCTTTTTTCTGCTGTGGTGACATTGATTAGGCAGGGACTCTTGTGGGAGTCTGTGTCTTGGTTTAGATTTGGGACTCTGTAGATTGCAGGATCTTGAATAAAGCCTAAATTCTTGTAGTCTCCTGAGTCTTGAGTGAGGCCTGAACTCTTACAGAAGCAAGAGGTTTGGACAAGACCTGGGCTCTGGGAGGAACTAGATTTCTGGGTAAGTTCAGCGTTTTTATTAATTTCAGAGTCTTGGGTATAGTACGGGATCTTCTGTGATCTAGAGTCTTGAATAAGGCCTACATTCCTGCAGATTCCTGGATGCTGTGCATTTCTTGAACCATTATTTCTGGAATCTTGAGAGGGGTCTAGCCTCTTTTGGTCAGTTACTGGGGAGAGATCTTTATTTTTGTTGATTACAGTGTCTTGGTTTAATGCAACATTCCTAAAAACCACAGAGTCTTGCATAAAGCTCAAAGTCCTCTGACCAGATGTTTGATTGAATATTATATTCTTTTGGAGCCTGGAAGGTTGGATTAAACCTAAGTTTCTAAGGACACCAGCATCTTGGATAGCAGCTGAACTCCTTCGACCAGAATCTTGAGTGATATCTAGGTTCTTTTGAGGGCAAGGGTCTTGGGAAATATTTGGATTCACGCAGAGGTAAGGATCTTGAGTACAGACTGGAAACTTGTAGAAACCTGAGTTTTTGTGGAGGCATGGATTCAGGATAAGTCCTGGGTTCTTATGAAGGCCTGGATTTGGGACAAGGTCTGGGTTCTTTTGGAGTCCTGGATTTGGGATAAGGCCTGGACTCTTCTGGAGTCCTGGATTTGGGATAAGGCCTGGGTTCTTCTGGAGTTCTGAATTTGGGGCAAGACTTGGATCCTTTTGGGGTTCTGGATTTGGGGCAAGGCCTGGGATCTTCTGGAGTCCTGGATCTTGGATAAGGCTCAGGTTCTTCTGGAGTTCTGGATCTTGGGTAAGGCTCAGGTTCTTCTGGAGTCCTGGATCTTGGATAAGGCTCAGGTTCTTCTGGATCCCTGGATCTTGGATAAGGCTCAGGTTCTTCTGGAGTCCTGGATCTTGGGCAAGGCTTGGGTTCTTCTGGAAATCTGGATCTTGGGTAAGGCCTGGGTTCCTGGGAACTCTGGAATCCTTGGCAAGGGATGGGGTCTTTTGAAGATCAAAGCCTTGGTTAAGGGTTGGATTCTCAGGGCTTAGGGGTTGGATTAAGGTTTGAGAAATGGTGGAGAACTGAGAAGGGCTAGAGAAGTAAGTGGTGGAGACAGTCTGAGGAGATTTGGAGGTTGAGAGAAAGGTGGGGGTTTGTGTCAAGTTGGAGGACTTCTGATGGTTAGATTGAGGAACAACAAATGTTCTGGGAGAAACAAGCGGCAGAGCAAGAGTACACGGTGTGGGGATGGTGGGCAGTGTGCTCTGAGCAGTGCTTGGAGAATGAAAACAAGGTTGAGAGGGAGTGGCATCCTGGGTGTAGACTAGGAACTTGGGGTAGACTGGAGCGTGGGAGTCTTCGTTTTTGCTCTCAGAGCAGCAAGGATGAAAGCTGCAGTAAGGGAAGGTCTTCGGCTGGGAGAATTTATCTTTGGCATTGTTTGAAATCTCCCACTCCATGTTCCCCAACTCCAGGTAACCAAGTATAGACCCAGCAGGAGGCACAACACTGTCCCCACCATGCGGTTTTTGAGTTTGTTCAGAAGTACCAGAATTCACCAAGCCCTTCACCTCTTGGGGCCTGGAGAGGATGTTCAAGTCCTTCCTGAAACACCTCGAGCTCTGGGAGTTGTGCTTAAGGAAGACATTCTGCTTTACTCTTCGGGCATCATAGACCATATGGCCAGTGGACAAGCTGGGGCCAAAGGTAGCCAGCATAGCCGGAACGGGAGGTAAGGTAGGGGTAGTGGTGGTGACAGGGACTTGAGCAGAGGCCTGAGTAGTAGTCATGGTCATGGATAGTGCTAGGGCAGGGGCTGGGACAGAGGTTGGGCCAGACACTGGGGAATGGGCATGCGAAGGAAGTAGGGAGCAGGGTGGGGCATGTGCTGAGGCTTGAGGTGCTGTTTGCTCAGGGACATCCACTTGGGGGTAGGTCAAGGTGTGTACTAGGACTTGGGCTGGGTCATGGTCTTGGCATTGGAAGCAAGCATGTGCAGGACCCTGGGTTGGGGGTTGAGATAATGTATGGGCTGAGGTTTGTTCAGGGCCATGGACTAAACCCTGAGTTTGGGTTGGGTCTGGCACCTGGAGGGCAATAGGGGGCAGGATGTGGGGCTGGGCCTGATCCAAGGAATGGGCTTGACTGTGGGTTGGGGCCTGGACTGGGAGATAGGGTGGAGTGGAGGCTGGGTTATGAGATGGGGTTGGGGGTGGAGCATTGGCTGGTATTGGGGCTTCACTGAGGGCTGGGATAGGAGCTGAGATAAAATCTGATGCATGGACTGGAGGGGTGTGGGCTGAGGTATGCTCAAGACCCTGTGCACTGAACTGAATGGGTTCTGAAGTCTGAGTCTGGGCCTGAGTGGAGGGGAGCTCATTAGTGTTGGTTGAAGAACAGGTTAGAGCCTGGGCTGGAACGTGGGATGAACTGTCATCTGGTACCTTATTCTTGTTCTTTTGGTATGAAGGAGGTGGGACCCTGTTCAGCTTGCTTATCTTTGGAATCTGGGGAGAAATCTCTGGCCTGGAAAATAAAGGAGCCTGAATCTTCATGACTGTAGCCTGAGGGGCTTCCCCAGCTCCCATCAGTCCCTCTTTCCACAGTTCCCATGGAGTGTCTGTGGGAGTTTTGTCATGTCCACATTGGGGTGGCATCCAGCAGCACCTAGAAATGTTCTCATCATTTGTGTCTGGTATCCAAGAGTCAAGGTGATTGACATGCCCGAGGAGGAAATTGGGGTGGTGATGGAATCGAGAAGGCATTCTTGAGCACAGGTTCTTGGGGTCTGCAGCGCAGTGCACACACATGGGTCGGCTGTTTAGACCAGTGGGTTGCTTGTCTGCAGGGAAAGGAGGATGAGAAAGGACAGGGTGCCCAAGTGCAAATTGGAACTGTGACAAAAGGGACAAGCCACATCCCCAGGAGACCATGTAGCAACCCGCTCACCTTTGGGGAAAAAATGATGGAAAAGAATCCTCAGTGAGTTCTTCAGATGCTTCCAGAGCTGGAGAAGCAGAGGAAGGAGAGCCCAGAAGTGGGGTGAGCCCCAAAGGACGGAGTTTGTCCCAGCAGCCCTCCCACTTCAGCCTCTTGAACACCCAAGATGTTGTCAGGCTAAGGATGGTGGCACATGTCAGGCTAAGGATGGTAATTACAGCACTCAGGAGACTGAGGCAGAAAGATCTCAAGCTTGGGATTCAAACAGCCACATAGTAAGACTTTGTCTCAAAACAAATAAGCAAACAAAGCCCAGAGCCCCCTCCACCCTGCTGCCCAGCCCCTGCCCTGACCAGAGTCACCACATTGATTCCCACGTTGAGCAAGATGAAGCTGCCCAGAATCAGAAGAATCGAATCTCCTAAATCCTGGCATTTCCTGAGGTTGGTGCCAGAGCATGCTTGGGCTCTGTGATAGATTTGCTCACCCATGACCTAGGGTCCCAGGACTACCTGGGCCCCATGGCTCCCACATACTAGGAAGCAGACTCCCCTAGTGGGGGAGGGGAGGGGACCTGAGTCACAATGGGCAGGTGATCACAATGAGTTCGTGAAGAGAAGGGCCCAGGATGAAATTCCCTGGTAACCAGGGCTGAGGAATCTAAGCCTATAGGCAGGCCAGCACCCTAACTCTTCTATCAACTATCCCCCCACAGTGATCTGATTCACTCAGCCCAAACATGCCTCATGCCATCACTCCTGCAGTTGAAAACCCAGAATCTCACCCCTTGATTACTCCTAAGACTGGAAAGCTCTTGACCTCAGAGCCCTGGCTGAAATCTAGAGTCTCTGTCTTCTTCTTGAGCTCTACCTCAAGCTTTTATCTGTCTGACCTTGTTCTTTTTCTTCCCCCAAGTTTATTTTATATATATATATGAGTGTTTGACTACACATATGTGTGCCACATGTATGCGTCGTATACATGGAGGTCAGAAGAAATCAGGTCCTCTGGAACATGGAGTCACCATGTGGGTGCTGGGAACTGAACCCAGGTCCTCTGCAAAAGCAAGTGCTTAGCCAAAGAGCCATCTCTAAGCCCTGATCTCAGTTTCTGGAGCAGATCTGAGTCAGTCCCTTCTGTGAAAAGGGAAAACTGCAACAAGATGGGTGCTCTGGAGGCTTGCGATGTGCAGTTTTCAGTTTAAGACATTTGAGACAGGATCAAGAGGGGCCTACTGGCAGGAACATGGCCCCTTGGGCAACAGGAACATCATGACAAGGGAGACTGGTTTCTCATATCAGGAATCCCAGGCTGATGAGAGGAGAGGTATTTCCAAACCACAAACGACAAGGGTTTCTGGACTTTCTCTTTATTCCTTCCTCCACGCCCTGTTCCTCTGCCCAGATTCACCTGCTGGTCATATAAGTTTCCCTGTCCGACTTCTATGCAGAGAGGGCCTTGAAGCTGAGGCAGAAGGCAGTGGCAATGAGCTGGCCCGCCCTCTGTTCTCTTGCACCTGCCTTTTCAACTCCAGGCTGTCGTATACCTGGTAGTTGGCATTGCCACCTGGATTCCGACTGAGCGGAACAAAGGTGGTTGGAGGTGGGGTTGGATCAGAAGCCTGGACTTCAGGTAAGGGCTGGGAGGAGTGAGGGATCATCAAACCGGAGCTGGCAGCAGGGGCCCTTTGGTAAGCCTCACCCAATGCTGTGAGGGAAGTAGAAGTGGTTAGAGGATGCCGAGAGGGAAAAACCTCACTCCAGTCAGCTGCTCGCCTGCGGACTTCATGAGATTCCCGGGAACTGTAACCCACATGTCCTACGGATTGGGGTGGGCTGTGGGTATAGCTAGGGAGGGTCTGCCGGTGGGCCTGTGGGGAGTTGTGCTCCCAATAGCCCTGGGCCTCTGACCTGGGGTTCCTGGATCCAAAGGCCGGTGTTGGCTCACAGCCGTCCACCCCACGCCGCCGCTGATCCCAGGCATCGTGCGGTATGTGGCCCCCTGAAGAGAAAGGGCTATAGCCCACAGTGACCCAGGAAGGGTTAGGAAGCAGCCGGCGGGCAGGTGGTGGCGGTGAAGCCCAAGGCTCAGCTTCCACATTTCCCCAAATCCGGGACTGTGAGTAATGGGGACCGAAAGTCTGTAGCCTCAGTTCTGACTTGGCTTCTACCCGCTTGGGCAAGCGGCGCAGCTCTGGTGACAGGTAGAGAGAGGGTAAGGGGAGGCTGGCGAGGATCCCACCCTGGCGGCCCCACAGTCTTACATTGGATGCCCGACCCTTTGGCTTATAAAAACCACCCCAGTCCCTATGGGGGTATTTGGGATGTGGGCAGGACTGGTCATCCTCCGGAAGGGAATCCCGGTTTTCCAGGTCACAAAAGGGCAGTGGCCTCGGCTGTAACATCTTGTAGCTTTGAGGTTGTTTACGAAAGGGTTGGTAGCGGTGGGAGAGCTGCCTGCAGTTTCGAAGCCTCTGCTGGTGGTTGTAGCGGCCCTGTGGGTAGCGGTTGTGGCTGCCCTGCTGGTGGCGGCTGCGGCAGCGCCTGCGGCGGCGCCTGCTGCTGCTGTAGCGCTTACGGAGATAGTGGTAGGAGGAAGAGGAACAGTGTGTGGGTTGCGCCATCTTCACTTGTACCGGGTCCAGGATACAGTGGATGTGGACGTCCTGGAAGTTGTCTGGGGGCTCTTTGAGGAGACATTCGGTAGCCTGGACTTCATCAGCCACAGACGAGCCAAAAAGTTCAGGGTTAGGGACACTTGGTCCAAATATTTTAGGATCCGTGTGGTGTGTGTGTGTGTGTGTGTGTGTGTGTGTGTGTGTGTGTGTGTGTGACTATTGTTTCATATACTTACTTTTCTGATTCATCCAACAGATCATCTTGTCTAAGGCATTCTGGAGCCCATGCCACATCTGGGGGTGGTGGGGAGATGGGAGTGAAGACCAGCTTTCTGATAGCATCTCCATTCCCAACAATCCCACCCGTTTCTGCAAATGCAGCAAGCTTGTAGCTGGCTTTTCTACTCAACCTTCTTCATCCCTATGGGTGAGCCACAGTAATCACTGACCACAGTTGTCACATTGATGCTGATGTTAACAAGAATGATGAGACCCAGCAGCAGGAATAGGATGTCCTCAGCATCCTGGGGGCTTTCTTGGTATTGACTGCAACACCCCAGGGTGCCCTGCCACAGCTGGTTTTCCATGGTGGGGGGGTCCTAAGGCCACCTGGGCCACCCCCCCACCCAGCCCAGCCCACACTGTATTCATGCCAGTACCAAGAGATGCTAACTATCTGGGAGAGGGAGCCAGGTCATAATGAATCAGGTTAGAGTCATAATGGAGAGGTAGAGGCTCTCTTATTCACTAATTTGACCCCTTACATGATAGTTTTTATCCTTGCTTTTATCCTTGACAGAACATGGGCCAGATGCACTTGAGTTCAGTCTTCTCTGCCTCTACTCTTAACCCCACATCTGGTTTCTGATCAGAAAGTATGGTAGCTCCAGTTATGAGACAATCTTCACAGGGTCAAAATATCCATAAAAGATTTCATTGCTCTTCTGAGACATGGCAGCATATGTTGACATGTCCCCTTTCTTGCCTGCTTTGAGACCAACATCTAAAGTGATAATGAATGACACATAACAGTGCCAACCCTTCCCCATCCTGACCATTTCCTTGTAACCCTTTGTTCACTTAGCATCATGTAGACTTGCACTTGATGATTACAGGTGACAATTACCAACACTGACTGTGTCCTCCCTCCTTCCAAAACAAACTGTCTTATCAACCCATCCCCTGCCACCTTAAGAACAACCACAGCACAGCATTGTAGCAATGGGCTCGTCAGTCCTAGCTGCTGGAGAGGCTGAGGCAGGAAGAGCTCTAGTTCTGGAGCTAGTGATACCATCTCAAACACACACAGTGTAGTGAAATGGTAGAATACTTGCCAAACATGTTTACTCAGCATTAGAAAAAAATTAAACAGTCCACACAGTTAACAAATAAATAGATGTAATTGTTGATATGACAGGTGTCTTTCATGTAGATTAACAATCACTTGTCTATGAAAGCAGCGCCCTGATTGCAAGTGTGAATTTTTTTTTGTTTGCTTGTTTTAATGATAGAATCTAGCAGGAGATATAGAGGTGGCTCAGAAGTTCAGAGTGCATACTGCTCTTGCAGAGGACCCACGTTCAGGTCCCAGCACCCAGGTTGGGTGGCTCCCGAGTACTTAGAACTTTAGTTCCAGAGGATTAGATGCCCTCTTCTGGATTCCACTGGAAACTGCACTCAAATGCACATACCTGCCTCCACATAGACATCTAATTAAAAAAAAAAAAAAAAAAAAAAAAAAAAAACTCTTAAAAAAAAAAAGTGGGCTTGGTATGGTGGCACATGCCTCTAACCCTAGCACTTGAATCAGAGGCAGAGGCAGGGTAGATCTCTATGAGTTCAAGACCAACCATGATCAACACAGTGACTTCCAGGGCATCCAAGGCTACATAGGAAGACCCTGGCTCAAAAAGACAAAACAGGGTTTTATATAATTTTACCTTGTCTGGAACTAAAGAAAAACAAACTGGCCTTGAACTTGCCACAAACACCCTGCCTTTGCCTCCAGAGCCCTGGGATTATAGGCATGTTCCACCAACACCCTACAAACAAGTCATTTTTGCTGTTTTGAGACAGGGTCACATGTAAACCGGGGTGACCTTGGCAGACTATAGTTAAAGACATCTTTAACTCCGATCTTTCTACTTCCATCTGCTAACCAAGAATGTTTTAAAATACAGTAACTTAAAATACATAAATAAAAAAATAAATATAAAAAAATAAAATACAGTAACTTACTCAGCAGAAATGGAGGAAAGGTGTTTCCTATGATCTCCAAACATGTTATGTGTCCTGCTTACCATTTACCCACAGAACAAAATTAACTTGAAATGATCAATAACATTTTGTTTGGGGTTTTTGTTTTGTTGATATGGTGTCTTGCTATTGTGGCCCCCTCTAGCCTAGATCTAGGTATGTAAACCTGTCTGGCTTTGAACTTGATGTGATCATCCTACCTCAGCCTCCTGTACAGGCCTGTGTTAGCACTTAACTTCAATAACTCCAGTTGAACATAAACAAAAACGGGCGATTCACAGAAACTATGCCGACATTACAGGAACCCATCTAGTATGAAAGGTGATGTCCAGTGCCTTCTGCATGGGGTCCCATGGGTTCTTGTTCTCAAGGTTGTGTGTGCATACGCATAGGCGAATCTCAGCCAACCAGCAGCCGGGCAGGGGTTCGTTTTTCCTCCTGTCCAGTGGATAGGATATTCTGAAGAGATCACATGGTAAAATGCAGTTTGGGCTGATGCATTGGCAGTGGGAATTTAATGCAGCAGCAGGAACAGGGAGAAGGGTAGAAAGTTTTAAGGCTGTGAACATGATCCCAGGTATCTGTATCTGTGGCCACAAGCAAGTCACTTGGATTGAGCCTCTGTCTTTCCTTTGTGACATGGAGAGGCATATAACCACAGGAGACTGAGACATTGTGGGATGGTGTCTCTTGACAGTGTCCCTATTATTTTACCTCCTGCTTCTAAGTCTATTCTCAAAGATTTCAGTAACTTCAGGTTCTGCCTGAGAGATTGAGATCCCAGAGGTCCGTTCTCACAGCCATCTTTGCCCAAAGAAACTAGAACATTAGAGGGACCCCTGCTTCTGCTGGATCTGTTGCCTAAACCTGGGCTCCTTAGACCTCTGAGTCAGGGCAGTGGGGCCTGAGGTCTTCCCTCTAGTTCATGGCTGCCTGGGAATCTGGCTGGAATGGCAGCTCCTCTGGGCACTAAAGAACACGGGTAGAGGCAGCTGGGCCTTGAGAAGGGCTCAGAACAGGGCCTAAGAAGGCAAGAAGCTGACAGGGTCCCCAGGGCTCTCTAGGCCATTTCAAGGGAGGTCATTTTCTTAACCACCAGGAACTCTGGAAACTGAGTCCTCCCCTCAGACCACCACGAACTACTTCCTCTCTCCTTTTTATTTTTTTCCCAGTCATCTTCCCTTCAGGGGACGGTACACCCAGTCTTTGCTTGTCCCCTCAGCTGTGCTGGATCCAGAAACCAAGGGGTAACAATGGGACAAAGCCTCCACTTCCCGGGTCAGCTCTCGTAGCCGTCGCCTCACATCTCGGGCATCATATACTAGTCGGACCGAGGAACGGCGCCGGGGTATTTCAGGGACTTTTGAAGGACCCAGGAAGGGTGTTGGGGTAGGCTGGCACTGTGCTTGCTCACCTTCAGCACCTGCCATTGGCCCCACCGCATTGTTTTTATGGGTCAAAGCCTCTGGGCTGGGAGGCGGAGGGTTCACAGTATATACATAGGCCTCTAGGCCCTGCTCTGACCGGATATCTGTTTTGAGAGGCCTTCCCTCTACTGTTGGCTGGAATCGGATGGTCTGGGGAGGTTGCTCTAGACCATCCCGAGTCCAAGGTTCCCAGATCTCCTGCATGGGTTGGAAACCTTCCCAGTCCTTAGGACCATCCCAGTGGTGGGAGCAAATTGCCTGGTGTGGAAGATTCTCATCATCCGTGTCAGGGGCCCACGCTATTGGACGGCGGGCACGGCGAGACTGAGAGGCTCTACGGCGGTGACGACGAGTGGGTGGGGGGGTCACAGTCATCTTCACAGGGTCCATGGTACATCGAAGGCGGACTTCAGGGTAGGCCTGCTTCCTCGAGGGCTGGGTCTGCCTCCCAGGTGAGGATAATTTAGTAGTTTCTGTGGATTAGGGAGAAGTGAGGCTGTTGAAGAGGTTGGCTTCCTCAGAGAGGGAAAGCGGAGCCTTGAGGGAAGCTGCACTTAAGTCATAAGGAGCAGCTTAGGGTCGGGTGGGATAGAAGCCTATACTCCTAGGCCCCAAGCCCTAGCCTTTCTTACCTTTCTCACAAATGATATGGAACATTCGGTGTAAGATGATGCGGAGTCGGCTCCAGAGCTAGGTATGGGAGGACAGGGTGACTACCAGTCGGTTCTTGTAACCAGGCCTGCCTCCCAGCCACCCCATCCACACCCTCCATCCCTGACCAGGGTCACCAAATTGATGCCAATGTTAATACAGATGATGAGACCCAACAGCAACAGAATGGAGTTTCCCATGTCCTGGCAGTTGTTGGTGCTGGGGTTTTGATATGAGGCCCACTCAGGCCGTGGCCGCTCAGCCATGGCCATGGCGGTCCCTAGGGCCACCAGGGCCCTTAGGCCCCCAACCCACTACCCCTAGTGCTCACTGGCCTGCCAGCCTGACCCAGAGGGTCCTGGGAGTGACTGGGTCACAATGATCCGGAGGCTTTCCCTCATAATGTACCAAGGTGATACTCTCAAGGTGCTAGGCCCAGGGTTGACTCTCCAGCCTTATGCCAGGCCTTGGCAGGGGCCTAACCCTGTATCTTGCATGCCTCTCTTATAGCCAGCCTCCTGGGTGAGCCAATGGTTCTCTAATCCATTGAGCATCTGCCCTCATCGGTTCCTATATCCTCTAAAACAACACCAGGCTCTAGACCCCACTGACCCAGCTTCTGATCTTGGCCTCCACATGGCCAAGAACGACCTTGAACTTTAGATCCTCCTGTCTCTATCTCTTAGTGTGCACCATGTCTTAGCTTTTTTGTTTTTTTGTTTTTTTTTTTTTTTTTAGACGAAGCCCAGGTTGGTCTTGAGTTCATGGTCCTCTGCAACAGCCTCCTGGAGGCTATGATTACAAGTGTTTGTAACCTCTTTGCCCATCCTGGCCTTTACCTTAGCCATCCAATCCCATCATTATGGCAACCTTATTTCCCCTCAGATCTCAAGAGTCTTCTGAAAAGTTTTCTAACATAACAAATGCAACCAAGGTTGGGTACCCTGTCCCCTGTCCCACCACCTTCTAACATAACAGCAGATACACCAACAGTTAAACTTTTATATTTACAATATTCTCTTCATCTTTTGCCAGGTTTAAAAATGTGTACAGAGCCGCAAAGGATTGGGTTGGGGACATGGGATTGTTTGGAAAGGGGCTGGGCATTGGAGTCCGTGGCTGTATCATGGGGTCCCCCAGCCCCCCTTCACACCCCAGCTCTGGGGCATCCGCTTACAGGGCTCAGGGCCCAGGTTGATAGCATTTGGAAGGCATGGCTGTTCCAAGAATTGCTAGACCAGGCAGGGGAAAGGGCCAGAAAGGAACTACATTTCCATGGGTGGAGAAAGGACAGGGTACTCAAGACCAAGGGTTCTGGATCTGGGTGTCAGTCGAAGACAGTACCCACCCCTATACAAGTTTGGCACTAACATCCCACAGAAAGCCACACACTACATGAGGATTCAGTTTTACCTCCATCGTGTCCCTTCAAACCTTTCCTGATGTCATTCTTTCCCCTAGAGGTCCAAATCCAAAGACCGCTGGGCAGTTGCCTCCCCCATTTTCTTTCCAATTCTTTCTGCTGGTGTCTGCCCAAGCCCTGTCCCCCAGGCCCCCTCCATCTGCTGTTCAGTACAGCTGACCTCATTCTCCCCAACCTGTCCCCTCCCCTCCCCCTTCTACTGCTCCTTTCCTTCAGCTCAGCCAATCAGGAAGGGGAGGCAGGTCAAAGAAGGTAAAGAGGGAAGGGTGGTCTGACCCTGAGATGGGGAGCATCAAAGAGAGAGCCAGTGATGGAGATAGGGAAGGCAGAAAGGAGAAACCACGCAGGGGCACAGGGAGGGATGAGACACAAAGTGGGGAGGGGGTGGGGGGCCTAGCTGCCACCTGCCCCTGGCGTTCCCTTTCCCTGGACTAGGACTTAGGGGACCCTTGGCACATTTTCAGTCTCCCAGTCCCCCTACCCAGTTTGGCACAGATGAGCAATGGTCTCATGGGCTGAGGGGAAGCTGTCCTCAGGCCCCATGAGGGCTTATGTCAGACATGCATGCCCTCTTGTGTGACATGTGCCATGCCCCTGCACCCTTCCACCTCAGCATCTCCCTGGAAGTTTGTACTTCCCCTGTGGCTTCTGTCAATTTGAAGTCTGTTTCCACCTGCTTTGTGTGCCAGGCCTGAGGTGTGGGGGGATGCGGGGAAGTGCTGGGGAGAGCAGGACCCTCTGCCTGGGAAACACACATCCACATGCACGAACATGTTTCCATTCAGTGAACTGTGTCCTGGACCATGGGAAGCTAAGTTTCCAGGCAGTACTGGGAAGCACAGATCTCCTCCCTTTCCTGAAGCAGGACATCTGTGTTGCCTGTGGAAGGCGGGGGCCTCCAGGGAGAACGAGCCTCACCTGACTTGTGCCATGGGGAAGAAACATGCTTTTCAGGGGTGGAGGGGGAGTGGGGTCCAGACGGCCTGTGATTTCTTTGCTGCTCCCCAGGTTCCACCCGGTATTGTCTGGTGGCCAAGGGTCACTGTATGTGAACACATCACTTCCAGGGTCTCCAGGGAGTGGGTTGGGGAGAAGGCAAAGGCATGAAGGAATGGGATTCTGGGGTACAAATCCCCGCAGAAATTCTTTGAGGGGGCCAACATGTGTCCAGGGGGGCAAAAAAAAACCTCACCCTGCACATGGGAAAACACCCCCTCATGAGGAAAGCACACCTCCATGTGGGAAAAAAGGCTTCCACATTTCTACACACCGAAGACTGGTGTCCCAACAGAGGGCAAAAACACCCCCAGGTGTTCAAAGGCCCAGGTCCAGAGAAGAGAACAGGCTTCTCTGCATGGGAAAAACTTGCATCCCAGTGAGGAATCCCATGTCCACCTTAACGCTGCTCCAGGAAGTTTGACAAATCCCACAGGGGAAAAGCCAGGTACCAAGTCCTCCTCCCTGCCTTCAAGTGGCCTGGGCTGGGGAGGGTTAGGGAGGTAGACCTCCCCAAGCTGCCCCCTATACCCGAGTGGTGGAGTGGGGATGGGGTAGTGTGTTGTTGTGGCTGGTAGCGGTAGGAGGAGGTGGTGGGAAGGGCCCAAAGGGATGGAGAGAAGGAGGTGGGGGTGGGGGCGGGGGCCCCAGGCCACTGGGCAGCAGGGTCAGGGCCCCCGGGGCCAAGAGAGGCACATCGTCCGGTGCCCGGCGCAAGGCCAGGGTATAGTCGGGTGGACAGGCAGGGCGCAGGGCCTCAGCAGGGTCCGCCCCAACACCACCACCCCGCTTCAGCTGCAGTGACACCAGCTCCTCCTCTGGGGGTAGCTCTCGGCCAGCAGTGGGAAGCAGGGGGCCCCCACCAGGCACACCTGAGCCTGAGCCTCCTGGTGGGCTAAGCCGCCTGCACCGAAGCTCCTGTCGCCGGTCCCGCTTGTAGTAGAGGGCGGCAAAGGCAAGGATGTTGAGGAAGAGGAGGGATGCTCCCACTGCCACAGTGACACTTAACTCCGTGGAGTAGTCCCTCGAGTCACCAGGGAAGCGGTCATAGGCCCTCGGGCCTGGGTCAATATCAGACTCAGGTGGCAGAGTGGCAGGTGGGGGAGGACGGCGTGTGCCAGAAGTGCCAGGACCGGGTGTGCGAGGTGGCCAGCGCGTGGCATAGGGAGGCAGGCGAGTGGTGGTGGTGAAGAGCTCTGTGTGGAGGTTGTGCAGGTGGGGCACGAGCTCCAGCCAGAAGGCCACCTTGTTGGCACGGTAGTTGTCACGCACGCGTGGCTTCAAGCCTATGTGCAGGTACTGCTTTTCCTTACTGTTGAACTTGCTCCACACCACCTCTTCAAAGCGGTTGGGCTTGGTGTGGATGAACTTGGTGTCCTGTGGCACAGGCTGGTTGGGGTCACTGTGGGCACAGGAGGGCAAGGAAAGGAGTGAGGGTGAGGCTCCTGAGGAGGATGGAGCAGCAGAGGGGGGAGACGTCAGAGATTTAGAGAGACCAGGAAACATCTAGAGCTAGAAAAGTGTGGACATGTGGTGCATGCCGACTGTCCCAGTACTTAAGAGGCAATGCAAGGCTTGGCCTGGGCTAAATAGTGAGGTCTTGCCAGAGAGAGAAAGAGATGGGGGGGGAAGAGAAAGGAGGGGCGCGCGCGCGCGCACACACACACACACACACACACACACACACAGAGAGAGAGACAGAGAGAGAGAGAGAGAGACAGCAACAGACAGACCAAAAATTATGAAGACAAACTGTAGAGACAGAGATGAAATTAGAAAAGACATCTGTGACACAGACCTGAGAGACAGGAATGGAGAGACAAAGGCAATGAGAGACTGCCAGGGAGAGGAAAACAGAGCTGGCGAGAGCAGCCGAAAGACAAAACCAAAGAGTGCAAAGAAGTCAGTGGACCTCGGGAAAGAGACAGACAGACACCCAGACAGAGATCCTCTACACTTAGATGCAGGCCAAGGGGGTCAGACAGCAGTCACAACAAAGCCACCCAGAAAGCGCACCCCCAGAAAAGGCCTTTCTAATACCACTGACTCTCCAACCCTCAGCACCTTAATACAAAAAAGGGAACATAAGAGCCAGTGTCTTCCTAGAGGAACCTTGGCTGTGTGAAGCAAGGTGGGAGGGAGAAACAGCCAGGGAAGGTAAGGATACCTCAACCTACAGGGGTGTCCCACCCGGCCCCACTAGGCCCTCTGGCCCTCACCCAGTCTTGGCGAAGTTGGTCCAGTAGGTCATGACTACTGCGCTGAGCATGACATCATTCTTGGAGAAGTTGCAGGGGAAGAGGTCTGTGGCACCCACCATGGGCACGCCAAAGACATAGGGCAGCTCATCCCCATGCGCTGCATCAGCCCATTCTGGCCGGCCCTCGGCCTGGCAGTGGTGGTAAAAGGTGTAAAAGTAGACAGGGGACTGGTAGTCAGCATGCAGCTTGGCAGTGGCCACAGCTGGGGCTACCCATTGGTGGTCAGTAAAGAGTGCCAGTAGGGTCTTCCGCCGCATCTCGCCATTGTCCCGGTCAGCCCAGTCCGTATACATGAACTTAATGGTTTCTCGAAGCACATCCTTGCCTTCTGGATACCCATACAAGTTGTCCACAAAGTTGGAGACAGTGAAGTCAAAGGCGCTGGCAGACACACCATCCTCACTCTCTGCAGAATCCTCCACGAACTTGAGACCCTCTCCCTGGTTGACACCAATGAGCATGTCGTAGTTGAGGAATTCTCCCTGTTGCATGAGGATCTCGGGGTCATCAGGGACTACATCGCCGTCCACCACAGGCCCAAAGGCAATGTGGTAGCTGGGGAGAAGGAGGCAAGGTTTCACCATCCAGTTGTTGGCCTCCTCTGGACCCAACGGCCTCCTAAGCCATACAGAGGTTGCCCCCACTTCTGCCTAAAAGACCCTTCCCCATAACTGGAGGACGC